GGAGGGTCGGGATGGGGAGGAGGAATGCGGAGAGGGGGGGGGCAACAAGGCCGGGATGGAGGAGGGGACAAATCGGAATGGAGCGACGAGGTCGGGATGGAGGAGGGGAGGAATCGGGATGGGGCGACGAGATCGGATGCGACAGAGGGGTCCGGTGGTCGGAATAGGGAGGGGAGGAAGTCGGGATGGAGAGATGGTCGGAGGGTCGGGATGGGGAGGGGGGGAGTCGGGATGGTGAAGAGAGGGGAAGCTGTCGGGGCGGGGAGATGGTCGGAGTGTCGGGATGGGGAGATGGTCGGGGGGTTGGGGATGGGCTGGGGGGAAGTGGGGTGCCGGAGGGGGGGGGGGGAGGAGTTCGCTGGGGGGGGGGGGGTTATCTTCAGGGAGCGGTGGAGGTGTTGGGCTTGAGTTGTGGGCGGGGGAGGTCTGCGGGGGGGGGGGGGATCACTGGCGGGGTACCTTTTGGCAGCGTGGGAGGTGTTTGAGGGGTCGGTTGGCATGAGAGTGGAGTTGATGGGGGTAGGGGGATAGGTTGTGGGGATTCATTTGGGAGCGGAGGATGTGGAGGGTGCGGGGGATGCAGGGACGGTCGGGGACTTCGGGGTGTACTTGGAGGTGGTGTGTGTGGCGGTTGTGGGTTTGTGTTTTGTGTATTATTTGAGATGTGTTGTTGGGAGTCTGTTGGGTTGCGGTTGCCACCATCACGGGCTGGTCCGGTGGATGTCGGCTGAACGAGGGCAGTGCCTTCCACTGCCAGCCTCGTCCGTCCGTCCGTCCACCATGGCTTCCACTGCATGTTATGGTCCCCCTGCAAAGACCCAATTTTGTGGGCTGGGTCAAGCCATGTTTGTTTGAAAGCATTCGTGATCTGCACAACTTTTCTCGGGTCACTGGTTGTTTTGAGTGTATTGTTGAGGCGAGACCACACCTTTTGCACATTTTTGAGGATTGTTTCAACAATGTGTTATTTCGCTTGGAGGTAACCGAAGCTGGTCTCCTGTCTTTCATGGGAACAATGTGCTCGTCAGATAAGTCATAAGTACCTTCAGTCTTGTGTAGCTGAAGAGGGTTGACTGGAAGGTAGTCCATGTGGTTTGGGTCAGCGATGGTTGGTCCAGCAATAGCACAACTAGGTCCCATGGGAGATCAACTCTTGTGAGGCTCTTCCATGCTGCTGCCCACAATCGCCAGATTTGTTTTGCCATAGGGCAATCTAGAAGGCAATGTTCCAGGTCTGCAATGTGCTTTTGGGAGGACACTCCACAATAAGAGCACAACGGCGATAGTACACCTCTCTCTTCGAGACGGGATCTGGAAACTAGCCAATCTGGTGTTGGCGGGCAGCGGTAAATGATCCGCCATTGTAATGCTTTCTGAGAGGTACGCATGAGGTGCGCAAAGTGGGACCAGTTAAAGCTTTTGAGGTCTCCATCTTTAAGGATGGACTCTTGCTGCCACCGGTTCTTTATTCTTTGGGTGGTGTTAATCGTCTTATGAGTCTTTCTGTAGCAGTCTTTAACTGTATACTTCCAGATCGGTTGTGGTTTGTTGCCTCCCCATTGCCATTCAATCGGGTCAAACGGCAGCGCGCAGATGGGGGTTGTGCTATGTGACCCCCACGGGCGCGGCCGAGGCCGCACGGCCACGCCAGGGCCAGGCACGGGCGCGCACGCCCCGCCTGCGCACGTCGGCCACTACCACCCTGTA